GATGGACTGTCCACTTCAAGTAGGGAATAAGTCCTTACCCCAAGTGAAGGAGTTCAAGTATCTCGGGGTCTTGTTCTCGAGTGAGGGAACAATGGAGCGTGAGATGGGCCGGAGAATCGGAGCAGCAGGAGCGGTACTGCAGTCGCTTTACCGCACCGTTGTGACGAAAAGGGAGCTGAGCCAGAAGGCAAAGCTCTCTGTCTACCGGGCCATTTTCGTTCCTACCCTCACCTATGGTCATGAAGGATGGGTCATGACCGAAAGAACGAGATCGCGGATACAAGCGGTCGAGATGGGTTTTCTCCGCAGGGTGGCTGGTGTCTCCCTTAGGGATAAGGTGAGAAGTTCAGTCATCAGGGAGGGACTCGGAGTTGAGCCGCTCCTCCTTCGCGTCGAAAGGAGCCAGTTGAGGTGGTTCGGGCACCTAGTTAGGATGCCACCTGGGCGCCTCCCTAGGGAGGTGTTCCAGGCACGTCCAGCTGGGAAGAGACCAAGGGGTAGACCTAGGACCAGGTGGAGGGATTATATCTCTTCGCTGGCCTGGGAGCGCCTTGGGATCCCCCAGTCAGAGCTGGTTGATGTGGCCAGGGAAAAGAAAGTTTGGGGCTCTCTGCTGGAACTGCTACCCCCGCGACCCGACCACGGATAAGCGGGAGAAGATGGATGGATGGATGGACTCTTCACAAGACAAACAATAATGCTCCAGAGGCAAAAATACATTTTCGAGCAGATTGTGACTTTAATGTAATGAATTAAAACTAGCAATAAAATAAATGATGACGATTATTGTGAAATGGAGAAACAAAATTGAAACGGTTTTCCTGAATTTTGCCAAGAAAATAAATAGATAGCATAGACTTTAAATATAGAATAGACTCCAACATTTAAATCAGTCTACTCTAAGAACTTTATATTTTGACTTAATCCTGTGGAAGATAACATGTTTTAATTGAATATGGAGACATATCTTGTGTTAAAAAAATGCTTACAAAATATGTATCTGCACGAAACCTCACAATAATGGCAGAATTACAACGATTTTGTAACAGACAGAAGTAGAAGGTAATTCAATTTAGATTTTTCATAAATTATGTTATAAGCGTAACAGCATATCATATAAGATGATTGTTTCCAAACTGGGTTTAGATATGGAAATATCAGCAGCATGTGTGTAAAATATCCTGTCAAACACACTGATGCACCTGAGGGGAGGTCTCTGCTGAGAATGAGACACTGCTCAGACTGGCTGATGACACCTTTCTTTATTTTGCTTCACGCAGCAAGACATATAGTCCCATATGAGCTGTCAAGGTCAAATAAACACAACTCTGACTTCCTTATCCTCTTCTTTTTCCTAACCTTTTTTGACCTTGAGTTATGTTGTAAAAGTATTTTTGGGATCTTTCTAAAATGTCATTAACCCTTTAAACCTTATTGACCTGCCAGGGGGTCCATTTATGTAACGTTTCGGTGGAGAAGATACTGAGTATATTAGGTGGGAACTTGGGGGTTGGGTATTAAATTATACACTGGAATATCTCTATATTTAATGGAATCGTGCAGCTGTAACTCTTGTCCTCTGTGGTAATGGAACTGCAGATACAAAAGCAACAATAGACACTTGTAAATCTCTTAACACAGCAACAGTATGTCTGTGCTCACCTGTGTGTTTGCGTGTGTGTGCAGGTGTTTCAGAACGGCCAGGAGCTTCTGCAGAGCTACCAGGTCCACCCGGAGATCCAGGCTCAGATGTTCGCTTACCTCTTCTTCTTCTCCAACGTGTCGCTGTTTAACCAGCTAATGGACAAAGGTAGTGCAAAAAGCATGCACACTCACACTCCATTAGACCCCCCTCAGGATTTGTACAGTTGTAAGTGTGTGTGCAAGAGAGAGAGAGAGAGAGAGAGAGAGTGTGTCCCTGTGTCCTTGTCAGCATTTTGACAGAGACTAACCTAGATGTGTCCTCTATGCCCTTCTCCTATCTGCATTCTGTTTCTCCCCCCTTCACCTCCTCCTCCTTGCCTTCCATCCTTCCATCTGGCCATCGGGGGGTGAGAGGTGGGGGTGGATGGAGGAGAGAGAGAGGACATAGAGGAAGGAGGGGGAAAGAGGGGAAAAGGTCAGCATGAAGGGTAAAGGGCTGGAAGTTGTTGTGAGGACCGTGCTAATAGTCTATTACTTTGTCTAAAAACAGAAATTGTAATTTACTGCCGGCTATTTCCATGCGTTTGACCACCCATCACTCCCAACCTCTCCACATCCTCCCTCTGTATCTTTAGCCGGCACACACACCCTCACGCTCCTGCCATATGTCTTCATTAGCCGGTGGAGACAGGAGAGATCACATGTCTGGCAGAAGGAGAAATACCTTTATATTCATGCGGAGGCTCCTCTCTCCCCCTCCTCCTCCCCGTCTCCACCTTCCTCTCTCCGTCTGTCTGGCTTTCTCTTCCTCTCCCTCGCTCTCCTCTTTGTCGCTCATTGATATTTCTGCACTGGTGGTGTCCATGGTAACAGGGAAGTGAGTTTGTGGCAGGTAACGCTGACGCCTGCACTGAGCGCTCTCTGCAACACTCACTCTGTCAGCCTGATATTACGGAAGAGATGTGATACGGTGCAGGCGCTCTGTGTTCTCCTGCTTTTGTGTGTGTTGTCACACCTTTTGTTGGAGAGTGTAAAAGACTCGATGTGTCTGCTAGGAAGCATTATGACACATTTGCTAAGAGGTTAAGTGATGTCTCGTCTTTAGTGATGCCTCACGCATAGATTACTGTATCTGTAGACGTAAGCCTATTACGGAGGGGAGTGTGTGTGTGTGTGTGTGTGTGTGTGTGTGTGTGTGCACCTAAAACATATGGCATAATATTTGAAGGGTTAGAGTATGTGTGTGTGCTGTCTGCACATTATGCTGTCAGTTGATAGGATGCATGAAGCTTCCTGTCATGTCTAACTTGTGGTGGTATTGTTTGTCTGAAAATAATCACCAGAAGGCTCCTTGATTTATCTATGATAAATAAAACTGTTGATTTTGTGCTACGAACACCTTACAGTATCTTGAAAAGTATTTTTGAAAACAGCGGCTTCTTCTGTTAATTTCAGCATAAAAATATGTGTTCACATTCAATCATTTTAAGAAAACAGTCTTGTCAGGATTAATTTGACTATTAAAAGGATCTGTATTTCCATTTTAAACATGTTTATCACATCTATGTTAACTTTTGTCCCTTATTTATAATCATTCCATTAAGTCAGAGGTGCAACGATTGGTAGATTCAATCTTTTTAGGGTCACAAAAATGGAAAGATAACATTAAATTATATGAGAACCTATATAATATTTTCACGCCAACAAAAACATTTAAACTAAATATAAGTATGTGCTAAGATGGCTCTTACATTTATTTTGTATAGAGTCTCTAATTATTTTTATAAAATGTATCAACAGAGGTTAATTTGTCATCTGGGGTGTCGTTAACGTTAGTCCAGTTGTTTGTCATTGTTTGTACCAAACCCCGGCAGAGGTCTAATCTCACATTGGGGGGTATTTCAGAAAGATTAAATAGTAATTATAGCTGCATTGAGGTAATGGAAGGACAGATTGACAAACTATGGGATGCCATCTTGACAAATGCCAGATTTCAATTTATCGCCTGCTTAACCATCAACAAAACTTCCTTTCAGTTCTTTGAAGTGATGCAGAGAAACAAAGGATTACAGAGTGAGGAATGTCATCTGAGCCCCGCTGCAGCGCTGCATTTGTATTCTGCAAGGAGCAGGCTGCTCTGCGCTGTGGCCATTGTGTCCCTGCCTTCAAAATCTAATTACTAACACAAATGTATTTCTGTATTGTCGTACAACACATGCAGAGAAACATTCACTGTCTCTGTGTTAGTCTGCCTTCCCTTAGACACGCACACACCCAGAATAGAAAATGTGCTGCTGTGTCTCAGAGGAAAATATCCAAACACTCACTACAGGATGTGTGTGTGTGTGTGTGTGTGTGTGTGTGTGTGTGTGTGTGTGTGTGTGTGTGTGTGTGTGTGTGTGTGTGTGTGTGTGTGTGTGTGTGTGTGTGTGTGTGTGTGTGTGTGTGTGTGTGTGTGTGTGTGTGTGTGTGTGTGTGTGTGTGTGTGTGTGTGTGTGTGTGTGTGTGTGTGTGTCTCGGTGTGTGTGTGTAGGTCCATCTCGGGGTTGGTTCCAGCGGTCGAAGGTGCTGCAGATTCAGGCGTGTTTGCGGATGGTCATGGAGTGGGCGAGCAGGTCGGGTCTGGGACACCTGGCCGACAAATTCTTCACCAAACTCAACAGTGCTGTGTCCATACTGGCCACGCCCCCACAACAGCTCACACAGGTATCACACACACACACACACATAGTCGGCTAAAATCGTGTACAGCATTGCTAGCCAGCACTAATAAAGTGTCAAAACGTATATATAAAGAGAGCTTACCGTATTAAAATGTGTTTCAATGGAGGTTATCAGTATTACAGCTGCTCAATCCTGATTGACTGTAATCAAGTTGACTGTTTTAAATACATTTGACAGAACTGCTGTTCATAAAGCAAGTAACTCTGATCAGCTATTGATTAATGACGTATTTTGAAGGGTTCAGCCAGGATCCGTCCACACTGCTCTTCACCTCCAAGACTGGAAAGCACTGACCTCCCAGGACTTCTGATTCATTTCTCTTCCCCGTGTGCAGTTAAGTTGGCGAGCTCTGTCCAGTGAGCACCCGGCTCTGAAGCCAGTACAGCTGCACAGGATCCTCACCCAGTACCAGCTCACAGCAGAGATAGGCCCTGTCCCATCATGGCAGCCCAGCAGCGAGGACGAGGCGTATATATACAGAACAGGTACATTTTATTTTAGTGGCCAACCATCAACTTTAAATGAGCCGCTTAAAATATAGAAATATAGAAAACGTTGCTGCTTATAACATCATGCGCTTTCTAAACTTACACCCAGCCACAGTAGAGTTTGGGGAGCTCTAATGCCTGTGCATGCACACGCTGATGCAGCACCCTGTGAAAACACTACTGAACGTTTTGACTGCAGTCCAGTGAAGAATAGTAAAGTAAAATACTGTTTTGCTCTCTGTTGTATTGTACAATATAGAGCTGTCAAAACAAAAATGCACTGAATTTAGGTGAAGAAGCACCTTTTTCTGCATCTTATTTTGATGCAAAGACTCATTCACTAGCAGGAATGTCGCACAATAGAAGTGAAAGCAGCGCTGTTTTAAAAAACAATCCAAATTGTTAAAAAATAGATGTTGTCTTTTAAACCAATGATTCATTGTGATCTCAGTATTGCCATCACTTTCTAGCCATACGCAGCCCTACCAGTAAATGAAAGATTGCTGGCACATAATGCCCTCGTGTTATAAGAGGGGAACGTTTAGCCTCTGCAGTGTATATACTGGTCTAACACTCCTTAAGATCACTGTTGAATGAATGTTACATTAATATTTAAGGTGTCCCCTCCACTCTGAAACGTGTTTTGCTTTTAATAACTTCACTGTGAGGTCTGACCTTCAACGTGCAGAATGATGTACGTGCAGAGTTTATTACCAAAGGGCTGTTTTAACACTCATCTGCCAAAAGGGGGGAAGTTTGAACTACTGTATATACATCAGTATGTCTTTTTTAATACATCATCTTTTATTAAGTAGAAGTCATCTGAATCTGCAAGGGAACTTTAATTGTTGTTCTCACTTAAATGTAATGTCATGTAGCTACTCAGGTAAACTAAACATATCTCAAAATTATACTAAAGGTAATGCACTTTTAAAGGTCTAAACATGATTATAACCAGAACATTTGTTTTTGTTTTGAATGCAGACGAGGACATGTTTTATATCTCACATGTATTGTATCTAGCAGCTGTGGTTAGCATTAAATTGCTATCCAGTAGGAGTTCTAAATGTGAAAAATGCAAAACAGGAAGAGTGACAGGCCGATAGGGAGCTGTTCAGTGTGTGTGTGTGTGTGTGTGTGTGTGCGTGCGTGCGCGCTAACATCAGTCTGTGTGTGTGTAGTGGACCTCCTAGAGAGCTTTGAGAACCACCCTCCCATAGTGCTGCCCAGCGGCGGCTTCAGAGTGGACCTGGAGAGCGAGTGTGTGGAGGACAGCATCTACAGACAGCTGCTCTACATCCGCCACTACCTGTGGGGGCTGCGCACCAAGACGCAAACACACACCAACACTCCCAGTGTGCACACACACTCCAACGGGACCAACACAGCCGACTGGCCCGACGTACAGGTCAGGAAACACACTGTGCACTCTGTCAGGTGCACACACCTCGCAGTAATCCAGGCCATGTGCCTCGGCAGCTGTGGTTTTTGAGGAGTTCCTCCATAATCCCATGAATGAAAGACAAAAACCCTCTACTCTAGCCAACACACACACACACACACACACACACACACACACACACACACAGAAACCTAGACATGGTTAAATCATGGTTAATCTGATTAGTCTTCAGGCTGTCTAATTAGGGGGAACGGCTGACTAGACCATAATCCCTAGTGTTGCTGCACCCTCGTATGTACACATTTTCATGCATATACACCAATAAATAACCTATGTGTCTTTAAAATGATTATACATCACTTTACTCATTGTTTAATTGGACTGTTTTGTCCTGCAACATTTAGCTTATTGTATTGATGTTGTTCTTGTACATGTATGTAGTTTACTTCATCTACATTACTTACACATTGGTCTTGCAAGATAATCTTGCACCTTTTTATTCTACTCGGTTTCTTCTTGCACTATTATATTGTTAGTTTAAGAGTTTTTTATGTCTAATATATTTTTATGTTGCATTGTTGGAGTAGCCTGGGACTCAAGATTGTCATTGCCATAGCTACACTGTAGCGACTGTGCACATGACAATAAGCCCTTAGAATCTCAAACAAACAAAACAAATGATCAAAGATAATAGGAATATTTATTTTCAAATCATTTCATCCTCTCCTCATACTGTCCTCTAAAGTCTTTCTGTCCGATCCCGGCACAGAGGGAGTTGCTGCCTCCGGCCCACAGCAGTCCCCGCTCCGGGGGTCCTGGGGAGGAGGTGACGGGGGAGCCGGGAGAGGATAGGGCACGGGAGAGACCTCCAGGCCAGTCACACACACACAGCCTCAGGAGGAACGGCACCATCCACCACGCCCGGACAGCAAATCCAGACCCGTCCTGCCTCTTGACCCCCACCAACACCCCGCTGTACCCCGACGAAGGGGGAGGGGGAGGAGGAGGGGGAGGGAAGTTCATAGGCCCCATCGCCCAGACTAACGGCTGCAGCAGCAGAACTGTGGCCGAGTGTAAAAAGACCAACGGACTCATCAGCAATGGACTGGAGGGTAGGCTGAATATCATACAGGAGGTGGACAAAATAACAAGAACACATGAGCATGATAAAGGAATCCAGAACAGAAACACCACAGTTCAACTTGTCATAAAAAAAATTACAAAAATCTGATACATATTTTTAATTAAGACAGAACATTGTGAGCTTCAACAAAAATATGATTTACTAACTCACATATTGTGTTTTTGTTATTTTTTCCATTGCACATCTGCTGTTCAAGTGTTAAGCCTTGCAGTTCTTTACACATAACATTAGCGATTCATTCATCCAAGTTTTTACGATTCAAACCTCAGGGTTTCTGCAGATAAGTAGTGTTAATATCCCGTGTCTGATTATCTCACTGCATAGTTACATTAAATATTATTGGAGGTACCATGATGCTTGAGATCCTGCATCAATGTAATTCAAACTCAAGGTTGTTGCGCCAACATCACATCCACTAACTGATATTGTAAAAGTGTTTTGGATCGGTACCTCTCTACACTTTATATTAATAAACAATATAGTATATACAATGTTGCATATTATAATGAAAATACATTTGCTAATATCACATTCAAATTCCCCCTGGAATTGACCAATATGAAAAAGACACTTTACATTGGACATTAACTCAGTCTCCTCTTCTGTGCTTCTCCACTCACTTATATTTAAAGACAATAGATCAGACACTGTAGACATATTGAAAACACCTACACAAAATGAGTGCAATTCTTAATTTATTCAAAGCAGCAATTATCAAAAATAATTTAAATGAATGGAGTCAATGAAAACATTCATGTTAAAGAGGTCCCTTGTCGCCACAAAAAAATTAGTTTTAGCCTCTGTTAGCTCATACATTTGATTTAACAACACTTTTACTGTCAACTGCTCTCATTTCCAGCTGCAGCAAGAAGTTGTTTTCTGAAAAAACGTTCTAATAAACTCATGCTGAGCTTCACATTGGAAAAAAGCTAATTTAGCCACTAGCTAGTAAAACAGTTGGAAGTCAGAGCCAGAATGAGAGCTAAAATTGGGTTACTCTGTTGGTTGCTTTGGAGTTATTCTGCCCCCTAGTGGCCACACATCGATGAATGCAGCTTATAACGTACACTACTTTTTGTGCGCTTCTGTAGTTTATACACTGGAGCTTTTAGATCAGCAGGATATTTCCTGTGCATGTTACAGTATAGTGAGTGTGACATCTGCAGGCTTCTGTCAGAAGCACGTGTGTGTGTGTCAGATCAGCTCTGTAGCATGTAGCATGTGTCTCAGTATCTGTGTGTGTGTTCTGCACAGTAACACCTTTCATGTTTGTCCGACCCCATAGCAAGACCCTGTGTGTCTGTGTGTTTGTGTGTGTGTGTTTTTTTTGTGCATTTGGGTGTCCGTGTCCTCTGCAGGGTGTATTAGTGGGTGTGAGTTTCCTTTCCCTGTATCATCCCCTGGCGCCCCTCCCCTTCCTGATGACTTGTGTGTGGTGTTTGTAGTGGAACTGGACAAAGGACCCTACGGACTCGGCATGGGACTCATAGACGGCCTGGTGAGTACACAGACGTTCAGAAACAGATTTAACTTTTTATCTTGCCTGTCAGTCCAGGTTTCAGGGGTGTATTTTTCTGTTAAAAAAGTTTTAAAAAAAAGACCCAGTATAGTTCTTGAAAAAGGTTAAAAACAGTAATATAAGCTATAAGAACGGTCTTAGTATAGGATGTCATAAAAATGTTTTTTTCATGTTCATGTTATTATTGATTTTCAATGGTGATATTATTTGATATCAAATTAACTTGAATATATTTCCTTAGACTCTAGATTTAGACTCCAGAAGCCAACGTTTACCTGCAGTTAATTTCACATTACATACCTGATTTAGAAACAACAAAAACTGTTGATTTTATCGTTACAAGTGTCTCGTAAAAGTTAAAACGCAAACCTTTCGGATATTAAAAAGAAGGACATGTATCTTCATTGGCCGCAGTATAAATGAGTTTCTCTACCAGCTACATAATGGACACTCTCACTCTGTTCAAACTATAACTCTTGTCCCCCCCGCAGCACACTCCTCTCAACGCTCCAGGCATCTACATCCGAACTCTGATCCCCGACGGCCCGGCGGCGTCTGACGGAAGGCTGAGGATCGGAGACCGCATCCTGGCTGTGAACGGGACCAGCTTGATAGGAGCCGACTACCAGAGGTACACTGGAGCAGTCTGTGACCACCACAATGGGCTGGAGGAGATTAACGATACTGCTGGGTGATATTGAGTTTGGTGACAGAGGGAGCAATCTCTCCACAATGCTAACCGTACCCATGGCTGTTGGCCTTTCAAGCCGATTGATTACTGTGATTGATTGATTGATTGATTGATTGATGTGAGCCCAGACAGTCTCTGCTGAGCTCTGAGTAACCAGACTCTTTGTCTCTCTTCACTTCCTCCTCAGCGCCGTGGATCTGATTCGCCTGGGAGGAGGTCGCCTACGCTTCCTGGTGGCCAAGTCCGACCCCGACGTCTCGGAGAAGATCAGCGCCTCCTCCTGCTGACTGTCTCCGAGCAACCGCTGCACAACACGGGAGGGAGAGGTAGGATAGCGAGACGACGCGGGATACAGATGTGTGCACTCGAACAGCACACACACAAACACACACAGCATGACACATGGGTGTGAAAACTAGCGACAGCACAAAGCCAAGCAATCAAACTGGAGATTAACACTCCACGACTCCACAGCTGCCAGACCCGCTGCCCTCACGCTGACTCCAACTGGGTTTGTGTGACAGACAGAATCCGTAACCCACGGCGACATCAAAGGGATACGCTGCGAGGAAAAGTCGCCTAATTAATCAGCGTTGGAGCCAATTGAGGTCCAGCCAGCCAGTACGCAGCCTGATGTGGTTTAAAGCACAGCAAATTTAAAACGTTTTAATTTCCCTTTGGCTGGTGCTCGCAGCATGTGAACACATTGGGACTTTTTCCACATGAATTTTAGAATAATTGTACTAGACTTTCAGTAGCATGGTGAAATAGCTGCCCATCTCTCAGAAACAAGGAACTGTGTGGACACGAACTGACTGTACTTCTTAAAGCACTTGCAGACAAACATGAAGACGAGGTTCTCTTCGATGGATGTTTTAGAGTGGAATGTTTTCTAATCCTGTTTGTTAGCAACTCCCAAAGCCCTGTCTGCTCAACAGACTCTATGAATGTTGACTTTCGCACCAGAGAGTGGCTGTAAAAGGAGGAAGAAGTAAAGTCAAGACACAGCCCAGCTCTCCTATTTCACATTCAACCTCATCATGGACTTCATCCCGCCACTGGACAACGGAGGAGTTCCCGATGCTCCACGTGCACAGGGGATGTGCAGCTGCTGGGGGACATTGTTATTTATTAATGACTGGATCATCAAGACCACAAACTTTACTCCAGGTTCTGATGCACAATCGTCGTGTGTATAAGCTACACTTGTGTTGTCAATATATGCGATATTTATCTGAGGTGTAAATAGTCTTTTGTAAATATGTAACACCTGGTCACATATTGTGTGGACATTCAAAAGAGAAACTACATTTTGGGGATTTCTCAATAACCTTCTTTGACTCTGAAAAATACTGATGGAAAAAAGGAATGTAATTTTCTAAAATGGCAGAAATATAGTTGTGGATTTATTTTAAACATTTAAAGAATTCAAGAACTATTAACAAGAATCGACTTCTGAACTTCTTATTCCAGAAGGGTCATTAGCTGCACTTTGATTCAGCAGTTACTCAAATTACAGAAAAGCATGTCTTACTGGTGGTATCTAGCAAAAGTCCCTTTTGAGGTTTGAGCTATTTCGGATTAAGAATTTCCTTCTAACCCTTCCTGGTTGTTCACAGAATTGTCCAATTTCGCCTAAACATTAAACAGCAGCTGTCTTTCCAGAGATAGCATATTTTCAGTTTCTCGGGATGATATACTAACCCAGGGTTCGAGTTATAATCTGAGTTTTATGGGGGTCTTTAAAACTAACGTTAGGGGCGGAGATAAATATATCAATGACAGCCGGGTAATAACGTTAATAACGGGTGATATTTATATACCTTTGAGGTGAAGTGAAGGCATATTGTCATTCAAGAGAGAATACGATGCGTAGTTCTTTTGGAAAACATGTTAAATAATACTCATTACATTGAAAAATGCATTATTTGTGATTAGCAATGTATTAGCGACCCCCACAGATGTAAGATTCCCCTGCTTTCATAGGAGCTCAGACCCCTCCTTACGGGAGCTCACCTCCCATTGGCTCCCACATAACTCGAACCCTGTACTGACCTCACTATATGTCACCATAAAAGGATTATTTATTAAATATAAAGTCGTCCCGATTCACTGTGATGTCTGTGGATTATCCAGTTATAGGGATATTTTTCTGGAAGTATAGGTTGCAGACAATTCTATAGTTTAATAATTAGATCTACAAATATAGGCAACCAAAACAACAGACATGTCCTCGTGTAATTTGGCTGAATGGACCCTTTTAAAAAGAAGACCAGCAACAACAAGACCAAGTCACCTTCAAAAGAAAAAGCAATACAAGTCCCTGATTCAGATGTAAGGTGACGAAGGAAAAATAAGCCACGCTAGTCAGTTCTGTTCGGACTTTTGTTCTGCCCTCAGCTCTGTGGATCACAACATCAGTAGCAGTGACCTTCTGTCAAAAATAAAAACGCTGCATCTGTGCAGATCCAGATGTTTATTGGCTCTCTTACTAAAAGAAGCCCAGACTTAGACAGTTTTCATTATTGATTAATCTGCCAATCATTCTTCCAATTAATATATTAAAATACCTAGCTCATTTTTTACTGGCCAAAACCCAATAGAGAAAGTTAAACTAGCCACTATTTTCAATGAGAAATTACCAAAATGTATTTATTTATGATTTACATTTGTTGAAATGTCAGTCCCAACGCTGATTCTCTCCCCCCCCCCATCAGGTTTGTTCAACTTGGCTTTAATCTGTTTATGTTCATTTATTTGCAGTAACATTTTACATTTGTGTGGATTTTAAGGATTTAAGACATTGATTTCATGCATGTATATTATTCTCTGTTCATTATTTATACTGTTGAAACATGATGGTACTTAAGAATAAAGATTGTTAATACTTGTTCATGTTTCTGCGTAGAAACCCACCTAATGTCCCAACAACAGAGCGACAGAGTCTGCAGACCCCGGTCACATGAAAGAAGGCAATGTAATATTTAAGTCAATGAGGAATTTTAATTTGTGCTACACATTTTAACAAATCACAAAAACAGGAACATTTTAAAATACATATACTTCTCTATTTCCAGAATGTTTACGTATTGATGACAGCTGTTTTTAAAAATAGCAAAATATTTTTTCTTTTTTCCAAAAATCAGAAAAAATACCTTCTAAATAGCTTTGTCATTTATCAGATAGAGCAGCATACAATCATTACGCAACTTTTTTGTTTGTTTTCTAATAATGTGCAACAACAATCACTGAAATCTTGCGCACATTGTGCCTGATTGCCAGCTAAAAATGAGGCCTGTGCGAGGAGGTTGGGGAAAGCTAAAGGCAGTGAGAGATTAGAGGGGGGGGGGGGGGAGAAAGTGCTGAAGAGTATAAAGCTGAGGCAGTGTCTGTGACAAGGACTGCCAACAGTGTGATGAGCCTTTAGAGACTGCTCACTGAGGAGAGGGACAGAGGTAGATTGGGAGAAAGGTTCATGCTTTTACAGGAAACTGAAAGCATAAGAGTGGGGAGCCAAGAGTAGCTCATATGTCAAAAGTACCATACAGAAAGAAAGAAAGAAGCAGTTGAAATGTGTGGTCATGTGTTGGTCCCGCCCTTCCCCTGATAAGTCTACGGATGCTGACATTACTGTCACCACTGTAGTGTTGCCGATCATTGTACTGTTAAAGAAGCGCTTTGTTTACAAACTAAAAAAAGGTAACGCTGTCTAAAGGTTAAAATAAAATGACAAAGTAGAAATATTTAAGGCTTTAAGGATTATTACAATAATGCTTTTCTGTGCTAAGACAAACAAAAGTGTACGCACAGGCTGTTCCATTTCTCCTTTTACCACTACTGAAACGAAAGAAAAAAAATTAAAACAACAATCAGTTTGTCTACATTAGGTTAGCTCCACTTCAATCAACTCCAAATAGATGCCTCTTGTTTCGCCCGTCTGCTGTCCAATCACACGGATCCTGTCGAGTCTGCTTCACACTGATAAACCGATCTGAGCTGAAGTGAAGCAAAAACTGCTGAGTCCTGTTTTTTCATTCCTGGATCTCCTCATATCTTCCAAAACAATACCCAATTTCTTTTTTTTGTATGCTTTCCAGAGAAAAGCAAGAAGGATAGACAATTTCACATTCTGGTCTCAGTCTTTATGTTAACATCTTTCTTTTCTTTACTCAGGGAAAATATTTTTTTCAGTAGGGATTGCTTTATGAAAAGTACAATCATATTTTTAACAGTCTCCCAAGCCCCATCAAATGGTCTGGGTACACACAGTTAAGTCCTCTCCATATTTCTGTCCATGGTTTGTGTGACACTACAAAATATATAAACTCTGATCGTCACAGTTTCTTCTGTAAATGCCAGCCATTTCAAATCTCTGAACACACTTGCCCTGGTTTCTAAATCAGGCAGTGACTGATCAGAAGTGCCGGAGAGTTCTTTGGCCTGAGAGAGAAACTGATGAGAGATATGATCCAACATTCACGTAGTAAAGTAGTGCTCAAATGATTTAATATGCATAATGCTCTCGTAAGCTTAATATCTGTGTTTTCAGTGAATGAAGGATTACATTCAAAAGACTGTAAAGCTGAAAAAGTCCTGAAAGATTTACTTGCTTTTTACATTCAGAATGTATTGAAAGTGTTTTTATCTATTTTTGACCAAAATATATTTTCCTTACAATTTATTTCCCTTCTGTTGAGAGAGGCTGCCTGCACATTTATTGGCCGAGTCAGCTGCAGTCATATCAAAGGAGTATAAAAGAAGCAGATAGGGGCCGTGAGGAGGCGGTCCATCGGGTACCTGTAAGAGACCCTGGGCTTTACTTCCTGGGGTCGTGGTTTTGTGTTGTCATGGCAACGATGACAGGCTGCTGAACCGGCGTGACTTGATGCTGAGCAGATTCAAGGCCGCCCCCGTCCTCCATCTTCGGCCGCTTGGACTGCGGTTCCCCGGGGTGCTCGGATAACGACTCTGCACCCGGCTGTCGGCTCAGCAGCACCGGGGGGGAGCTGGAGGCCTGGGCGGCCAGGATCTGCAGAGGACTGCTCAGGCCTGGGGGGGGGAGAGAGAAGAGGGAAGGGAGAGTCAGGTGGGGTCAGTATCTGGAAAACGCGATATTACACAGGTAACCTTGTTTTAAGCTGTTTTTTATGTTTTCTTATCACGCTGCAACACATCCTCTGTTCTCATTGGCTGAGACCCTTAAACAAAGCTTGATACTCTAAGTATGGAAAATAAAACCTAGGCACGTAAAAAGCAATAACCTTTTAAAAATAATTGTAAGATGTTAACATGTCGAAAATGCAATATTTTATTCTGCTCCCGTCTACAGCCATTTGCATATTTGTTATGTTATACAAGAACAGCTCAGTATCTCCGCTTTAAAACAAGCTAAAACTAAAGCTGTCAGTAAGAGGTATAGTTGCTTTTTTTTCTATGTATCTTAAAACTTGGCAAACCCTGCTGGATGTCTAAATCTAAACACCACTCAGTATTGAGGATGTTTTTTGTCATGTAAGATTTGTTTCCCGTGAGATATCACTGATTCTACAGTGACGTTAGTGTCCTCCTCCAAGAACAAGTTGATTCTTATAATGTTCTGAACGTATTCTTTAAATAATATGAAAAAGCAATCATTTAGAAAAGTAGTGGTTTGCCCAGTATAATGCCCACATCTGTATCTTGATGGCTTGAATCCATCTTTTTGAGCAGAAACATTGACATGCATCATCATGACTGTGCAGTGATGGCAGGAGAGTCTCACCAGATGCATTAGCAAAGCTGGTTACTGTGGCAACAGCAGCAGCAGCGGTGTGTTTGCCATTCTGAGTAACAGGACGAACAGGAAGTTGATGTAAACCGAGGGCCAGGTTCCTGCCGTCCCCGCCCTGCACCGCACTGTCCACGGTCTGGATCACCCGCTCCCTGGTCAGCTGGGCGTCTGAGGGACACAGCGCACACATGTCAAAGCCAAAACAACTAAATGTTTATGAAAGTGCATCAAATTATATTATATAGAAAACTGCCACAAAAAAAACTTTCCCTTCCTAAAACACAGCATATATCTACCATTCATCCAAATGAACTATTTTGGACATTTGATCAAAGAGTGTAGTTCTTAAATGATCTTATATTTAGCAGTAAGACTAAGTATTTACTCTTCTCTACACTTGTAACATTCAAACACAAGATGCAATATAATAAGGTCAAATTCATCTGCAAACATATAACTCTGGACTTTGAGAAGCAAGCTTGGATCACAATTAGTAAACTGATAAACATCTAAACAGTTACATTTAAATGTCCTTTTATAGTTCAATCAATGTATTTCACAAAGATGAATGAATAAATGATCACATCATATAAAGGATTCATAAAGGGTTTATTATTAGGTTATTAATTAGGTTGTAAACACTTTATTAATAATTAAGAACCATTTATAAATAAGTTCTAACATAGTTTTCATACATCAACACAGGCTCACTATTTGGCAAGATGACTAAGCCTTATATTGGCTACCTAGCTTACGTCATCTTCATCAGCCATCATCCTTGGTATCTGTTGTTCACTGAGTGGATTCCCCCCCTTCCATCTTGTTTCTTGGCATCTCTTATGACCATTTATTTATGAGTTACTAACATTTATAACTGCCAAAAGGGAGACTTATTGTAAAGTGTAAAACACATTCCCATTTATTAATGAGTTACTACCATTTATAATAAGAGGCGCATTCACACTGCGGTACTTTTCCCACAAAGGTTCATGTGAACTTAGTTCATGTGAACTCTTTTATCGCGTTCACACCAAAAAGAGCCGGTACTAAAAAAAATGTTACCCCCTCGAAAGTACCTGCTAGAGAGCAGGGACTTTCGTACGGCTCTTTTGTGAGAAAAGAGCTATATGTCTGATTGGCTGGGCGGATTGCAAACCACGCCCCGTAAAACTACCAAAACGTTTTGTGAAGCCGCCATTTTATTATCCTCGCATTAGCATTATTAGTATTAGCATTAGCCGAGCGCAGAAACGCAGAGAGACTAATTTATGGCAACACAAAATAAAACATGGGAGTGGTGGAGATGAGGAGGTGTCGGCATTCTGGCGATTTACTCGGAAGGCTTCAGTAGAAGCTGCTGGGAGTCCCAGCAGCTTCTACTGAAGCCAGTCCCCAACTCCGGGGACTTCCGGCCGGGGACTTTGGGCGGCAGTATACGCCGTGAAGTGGTTTGCGGCCTGCCAGTAAGCCCAAAGCAGAAGAAGAACAAGTGACGTCAGCGGCTTCATTTGCCTAATCCACCCCCAGGGACTTATTCCGGTGTGAACGCGATCTGTACTTAGTTCATGCGAACTAAAGAGTTCACATGAACCTTTATGGGAAAAGTACCGCAGTGTGAATGCGCCTAAGGCTTGGCAGTACAGATAAATATGGGCTCACTATTTGGCAAGCAACCGGTCACAGTTGCCCTGTTTATCTCATGTCTTATAAAAGCTTATTAAGGATTTATAAAGTATTCACAACCTAATTAATGAATGAATTACAAACTATTCGTAAACCCTTTATAAGGGTAGTCTTATTGTAAAGTGGTACCCAAACATCTTACACAATCCAAAACAATAGCCTGGGAGCTAAATGCAAACAGATCTTTGTATATCTTCAAATACCACAGAGATGTACAACAATTATGGAGCACAAAAGCTTTAAAAATGTAGACCTGGAGATGAGCAGAACTACTCAGTAGGGCTGCTCGATTATGGCAAAAATCATAATCTCGATTATTTTTGGTAAATAATTGATGTCACGATTATTAAAAACGATTATCCATTTACTTTGAAAACATCAATTTATTTAAAAACAGTATGTTTTTAACAGTTGATTACCCTGAACTTTAAGTAT